TCTCTCCTCACACTTCGTTCTTGACTTTTCATCTCACTACTCCGTCTCCCATGTGATGTTCATATACAATTGAAATTTGTAAAACTTATCATGTGGGGTTATCCGGTCCTTTTTTTGTTTTGATATTCCGGATAGTTTGACAAAGCAGATGGCGCAGACGGTGAAATCTCAGAAGTTGGTACCAACATGCCAAACACTTGGTGCAATACCTGGTGCTGGTTCGCGTCGTCCGGACTTTGCTACCTTTACCTGCCTTACCTACCACCCTTTCAGCGCTTACCTACCACCGACAAGGGAAGACTTGTTCGGAGGCTGCGAGGTGGAGAGCAGCGGTGGGGGTCTTCGGCGCTTACTGCTGCGGCTTTGGCACGGCAGCAGCTCTCCAGCGGAGCCACTGTTTCGGTGTCGACCACTCAAGAGAGATCCTGGTTGAACTTTGTGAGATAGGAACACAAGCTACCAGGAGCAAAGGGCATCGCTACTAGGAGCAAAGAAGCTACTAGGGGCTCCTGGCCGTACTACTAGTAGCAAGAAGCTACTAGTACTTGTAGCAAGAAACTGCTGCTAGTAGCAAGAAGCTGCTACTAGTAGCAAGAACACAAACAGGATATACTACTCCAAAGATCGACCCCACTCCGGAAGATGTCGGCATCTCCAGGAGTTGGCTGAGCTGCGGCAAGTGCTTCAAGGCTTTGACAGGCGCAACAGTTCATCCGTACCGTTTAGGCTTTGTGTTGGGGGCTCCTGGCCCTACTGCTAGGAGCAAGGACGCTTCTAGGGGCTCCTGGCATCGCTACTAGAAGCAAGGACGCTACTAGTTTGAAGATGTCTTTTGTGGCTAAGTCGGTGAGGACGATTTCGTCCCGGTCAAGCAGGTCCGGAGAACCGCTGGATGGACCTCTGCTGGGAATGGCGGCAGCACAATGTGCTCGACTGGGCGATGGGAAACCTTTGAATCTGTCGCTCAGAAGGAATGGAATATGATTCAATATGTTTTGAACACTTGATTGAATGTGTGTGTGTATATACTGTATACAGTATATATATACTGTATATATGTAGATTGATATGAATGAGCTCGACGCGTTGTTAAACAGTTTGAAGTCACAGCTTGTTTGATGCAACAACCGAGCCCCTCAAGACTGTCCTAACCTCATTAAAACCCTTGCTTTCTTCTTCCAAGCCAAAGGATTGTCCCGTTCTTCTATTGTCCCTTTACGGTGCGTTTCACTTGAACATTTGTGACGTCCCTAGGATCTGCACCTTTGCAGCCTCACGTTTAGAAGTGTGTGGCGCACGTGCAGTGGTTGAGATGGCACAGGTGGAGTGGGGCGGCTGTGTTTTGACATCAAACTGTGTGGGAAAGCGACCTCGAGCAAGGACGCTACTAGGGGCTCCTGGCATCTAGGAGCAAGGACGCTTCTAGGAACAAGTGCCACACTACTAGGAACAAGGGCCTTACTAGTAGTAACAAGAAGCTAGTAGAAACAAGTGCCTTACTACTAGGAGCAAGGACGCTACTAGCGATTTGAAGACTCTTCACCACTCTGGGCGGAGCAGACGCAAGAGGGGGCCGGATTTGAGAGGCGTTTTCAACGGCTAGTTGTTTGTGCCACATAGGAGCAAGGACGCTACAAGGGGCGCTCCTGGCCTTACTACTAGGAACAAGAAGCTACTAGTAACAAGACCTATATATGCACCCAAAACCGACTTGAATGCTTTTGGATATTTAGTCGTTGGCCATTGGCAGCAAACATACTTTGTTGATCTGAGCGTGAAGCGAATTGGGTCGCGAACATGGAAAACCAACTGCATTTTGTGATTTAGCTATGAACGTCCGATGAGACTAAAAGACTGACTATAAGTCTAGAAGTCTACACTACTACTAGCAATGGCCTCCACCCTATGAGTATTATCGGTCTTCTTGCTCTTCTTTCCTCGGTTTTTGTCGACGTTCGTTGTTGCCAGGCGGCGTTGACGTTGGGCTGCATGGAACCGTTGTTTCTGCGGGCCACGATGACCTTCTTCGCTTCCGTGCCCAGCTTCGCGAGCAGTCGTGCCTCAGCCACCTCGGTCAGGTCGTCGAATGTCATTATTATTGGTCAAAAACAAGAAAAAGTTGTGAAAACGATAAACAACTTATAACAACAGGTCTAATAAGAGGATTGAAGAGATAAGAAGAGAAAATATGATGTTTGCTAGAAAGAAATAGGTTGGAGGCCATCGCTATTAAGGCATGAAGCATTACTAGAAAGAAATCGAGAGTTTTGTGAGACGCGCCTTGGTCCGAAGGTCAAGGGACGCGCCGGAAAAGTTTCAACTAGCCCAAGAGTTCTTCGCTTTCTCACACCTCTACTTTTCGAAAAAAATACAAGGAAAGCAAGAAGGAGATGCATAAAAGACAGATATGAAGGACTAAGCATGGAGATGAGACTGAGAGGAGAGATTTTGAAGGACTAAGGAGACAAGCAAAAAAAGAACATACAAAATCTCACCAGAGAAAAAGAGACGTGCTTTTTTGAGTCGTGTTTGTTCGTTCACAGCAACTAGAGTTGGTGTGACCATATGAACTTCGATGTCTTGTATTCCATGAGCTCTTCATGTTTTCAGATTTTTTTGCATGTGGTGTCCTTTTATTCTTATTTTTGTGCTTTTTTTCTATGCCTTTGTTGTGCTGTTTGAGGTGATGTGGCAGCTGCAGCCAAGGTGCTGCACCAGAGCTTTCGAGAGCCTGTGGTGTTGGACCGCGAAGGCGCTCTTCGCGGCTTGGCCGAGGCAGCCAGACCTTTCTTCGAAGGCAGGGCTGATTGGAGGAAAGAGTAAAAAGAAGATGAAGGAAAGTAAAAATGTCTGTAAGATTTGTAATTGTCTTTTTTGATTTGGTGGTTGATATGTTTGAAGATGTTTGTAGAGACCTGTTCGAGACGAGTTCTGTCACCGCTGTAGTGACATCCAATAACAGGAGTTGTTTGGTTGGTTGGTTTTAAGTATGAAAGCTCCTGAGAAAATCTTAGTAAGGAAAGGAAAGGAAGCAAAATGAAAAGGTCAAAAGGTTAGGAGGACAAAGAACAAAGTTAATTGAGAAAACAAACTGCGATGGCCTCCACCCTCAGTCGTCAGGTAGGAAGATAGGAAGAAAGGCATTGCATTTTGGCTTGATCGCAGGACCCAGCAATGCCACCTCGGCAATCGTCCGAGATGCTGTGGAGTTTATGCACGCGAGTGCGCAAGCTGCAGGACTGGTGGATAAGGGGAGACTTTGTCCTAGAGTCTGCTCGCTCTTGCAGTTTTGAGGGCATCTCTAACCAACAAGTTCCGATTAAATGTGTTATTGGCTGCATTGAGTATCCGAGATCTCTCATGTTAAATGTGTTGTTTCTGCAAGAGCAATTAGCAAGCATAGCAAGTGGGGGAGTGTGAAGTTTCCCAAAAAATCTAGTGCGAGCGCTTCTTCAAAGCTTTCCAAATCCCTCGTCCTTTCAGGAAGCCAAGATCTTTTGCTCAATGGACCAGAAGTGGAGACCGTCGAAGGCTCTTTTTCCATCGTGTCTTGGACTCGAACGGCTAACGACTCCACACAATTATGCTCAGGGTTAGTCAGTATATTCCAAGCAGTGAAATATACTTGAATCTCTGAAAAAACTCGTTCAGACAACTATACGTTGCCATGTACGGAGAAATGTTTGGTGACAATGAAGCCTGGCCTGTTCACGATGGGCTCGGCATGCACATGCATTGTCTCACATGCTGTTTGGCAAAAACTCCTGCACTCAATCTCATTCCTGTCGACGTCGTGCCTTTTGTATATGTTTGTCTCATTTTCTATCAGAAACTGATGACCTATGCAGCCTCCATAGACATTCGAGAACGGAATCCACTGTGGTCGTTTTTCGGCAAGGTTGGTAAGTTTAGTTGGTCGGGGAGAATGCACTTCATACTGAGTTCTTCAATCATTTGTACAACCTTCACAAAATGGTGAATGGTGGTGCGATGGCCTCCAACCTAAGAGCGATGATGGCTTTCCCTTTTGTGTTTGTTGTCTCTTCTCCTCCTCCTCCTGCTTCTTCTTTGAGGTGCTGCACTTCCTCCGCCGGAATTTGCACTTGGCTTCGGCCAAAGACTCCTCGATGGTGGCTGGCACCTTGGCGACCCTCTGGGAGGCGCGACACGGGAAATCCGTGGATCAGCGCGAGTGGCGTGTTTGATGAAATGATATGTCTTAATGAGTTGAGGTGTGAGGAAGTTGAAGTGTTCACACCAGAGGGGAATAAGGCCGATCTCAGCTCCTGCCAGGTCTTGCCGCAGATCAGAGAGACCTTACTTTGGCCTTGTCTTGAGGCTCGCAGTTCGAGTGCACTGTTGACGGGTAGGCGCAGCAGACCAAGAACGCTTTTACGACAGACTCTCATCACGCTTTAAAGAAAGGAAGGGTGGTCAACAGCAAGTAACAATAGAAAGCATTCATTCGTAGATTAAGACCTAAGGTAGTCAACGCGGTGATCCCGAAGGTCCTTTTGACATTTCTCAAACAACCTCTCATTGGATCAACTCAAGAGGCCCACCAGTTGAGACAAAGAGTCACCCTCAAAGAACCTTTTACTACTAGTAAGGCACCTGTTACTACTAGCGTGGTACTTGTTACTACTACGCATTCACAAGTAGCATGCCATGAAGAACATCATTTAAGCATGCCATTGAACGTTTTTGAAGAAGCTGAAATATAACGATTGAACATCGACAAGAGTTCGCACTCATTTATATATGCATTTTAGAAGTAGTTTAACGTTTTTGAGTTAGTTTGCGTGGGGTCAAAAAGTCAGTCGGGATTCTTTCAGCATTCTTGCCAGTACCAGAGAGCTTTTTGGCTCCCGTTTTATTGGCTTCGTGTTGCACTGGAAGCTTCTAGGGTTGCTTTGACTCTAGCTTCTTTCGCCTTCACTTTGGAGGACGTGGCTCAAAGTGCACGCTTCAAAAGCGACAACTTTTCCTGCCAGGTGCGCTTTTGACGTTCCAAACAAGAACGCTACTAGGAACAAGTGCCACGCTAGTAGTAACAAGTGCCACGCTAGTAGTAACAGGTGCCACGCTAGTAGGAACAAGAAGCTAGTAGTAACAAGTGCCACGCTAGTAGTAACAGGAAAACATGGAAGATGGAAGTCTAAAAAAGGCAGAAACACAGGACACCGTGTTTGGTGGTCAAAAAAAGCGTGTGGCTCGGGCGTTTAGCATATCCAAGTCGTTGTTCGGTTCTTTAAGGAAGCTTTTCTCGGTTCTACGTCATTTAGACTCTCTTTCTCAAAGGCTTATTTACACTGGTAAAGGAAGTTGGGAGGAAGCAAGCAAAGCACAGAACAAGAAAAATGAAAACAGAAAGGACAGTTGTAATTTTTAATGGAAGCCATTGCTAGATGTGTGGACGTACTGCCTGCCGTCAGGACTTGGCCTCGGTGGCTCAAGCCTTTGCGAAGCTCGAACGGCCCAATGACGTCTTCGCGGACGCGTCTCGGTTCTGCTCAGTTCTCGTTTGCAAAAAGTCGGTATACGATGTTCGCGAATTTGGAGACGAGTCGTTCAGTTCCTCTGACTTGTTTCTACTAGCTTCTTGTTCCTAGTAGTAAGGCCCTTGCTCCTAGTAGCGAGGCCAGGAGCCCCTAGTAGCTTCTTGTTCCTAGTAGCGATGTCCTTTGTTACTAGTAGCGTTCATGTTACTGCGTGATTTCTGGAGCGAAGGATGGCCGTAGGTCTTCTTTCATGCGAACAGCAATCTCCCATTTTTGTCCAGCTAATCGACGGTTAGTTGATGATTACAGATTTTGGATGCTTTGTTTGCATGCGCAACCCAGGACTCCCAAAGAGGGGTTGGTTTTGATGCCGCAACGATTGGTTGTCTCAGGAATAAAGCTACGCTCCTGTTACCCTCGTGAGGTATGCTACCCCCTTGCTGCACTCTAGATCTTGGCCGAACGTCACTCTAAGAATGACCAGTGCAACTGCAGTCTGCATTGAACGACTCCCATTGCTATTAGGATGGAGGCCATCGCTAGGGTGGAGGCCATTGCTACTAGCTTTAGTAACAAGAAGCTACTAGGAACAAGTGTATCGCTACTAGTAACAAGTGCCTTACTAGTAGTAACAAGAAGCTACTAGAAACAAGTGC